ACCACCCAGGGAATGGATTAAAGGCGATTACTTTGGTAAACCATTCAAAGTGGCAAGTAATATTGGATTAACTAAAAGGATTAAGTTTGGGTTTCTCTTTCAACCCTCCAACTTTCTCAATAGTTAATGCTCTTACTTGCAATTACGTTTTGTACATCATTCTTTTGTAATTCATATTTATTTTTAATTTTGTTTTTTAATTAATAAGTTGTATTCTTCTAATGGCAATAATTGTAATGTAGGCATACATAAAGATTAAAAATTAATGTCTGAAAATTTTATTTTTGTTTACTATTGTTTTATAATAAGACAAAAAGTAGTACTGTAGGGTTATATTTTGTATTCATCTCGTCTCATTTGCATGGTTTTTTAAACTTAAAGAAATACTGTGTTTGTTTTCTTATAATTTGTAAAAATCACCATGATAAAATAAAATACTACTAATTGTTAAATATGTCATTCCTGATCAAACTGCAACTTGTGTTAAAATGGACACTTTTGGCCCTACATGTCCTAAGGACTTTTAATTCTAGCTGGAACTATTTTCCATTCATACTGTAACTCGACCTCGATCCATGCCAACTCATCTTCCAAAATCATAAATATTTTACTAGCAATCTTCTCTTGCTTTCAAAGACACCCTTATAAACTATTCACGAGTTTTAAAACTTGAACTAAAAGTCAAACTAGAGTACATTCTTATTTATAGTCTGAGTTGCAATGGTCAGATAACTGTAAGTGGAACAAACTGGAAAGAATTGTACAAATATGTAGTTATTTTGAGTGATATTTTGCACATGTAAATTCAATACAAATTTAAAAAATGGTAAGGAATATAAAAACTTACTGAAAATATTATGACTTTATTACAATTCATAAACATCTAATAAACAATATATATTGATATTTGTTTTTACCTGGTTTGATCGTAACTTGCTTCAACTCATGGTTACTCAAAATTAATATTATGTTAATTAATTCTAACTATTTATCATTAACGTACATACTGTATTAATTGACCACACTTTGATGAATTAGAATTTTACATGCTCTACTAACTCAAACTTGATGAATTGTGAGCTATAGCAACTGTTATGACCCTTCAACTTGGTCAGCAAGAAAAAATGAGGTAGAAAATTGAATTTTAGACACTAGCGCATTCTGTGATGAATAAAAAATTTACGACAGCGTTTTTTTAGTGTGGCCTTGATAAAACCCCTTAGTAGATTCCTCATCATCATGGATCAGCTGAAGAACATTTTATTGACAACTAGCTGGCCCGACAGACGTCGTCCTGTCCTATTGTGGTTTTATGTCACATGTTCGTTCATTTTCAAGATGAGCTCGTTCGCATGGCTCAATCACGTCCTGGTTGAAGTTCGTTCGCTACGCTCACTCACCTTTAGGTTGGAGCTCGCTCGCTGCGCTCACTTGCCTTCAGGTTAGCTCGTTCGCTACGCTAACTCGCCTCCAGGTTGAAGTTCGTTCGCTACACTCACTCACCTTTTGGTTGCAGATACGCTGTTCTCATAAATTAAAAAAGAATATTGTGCTGCACCCTGTTGGTAAACCTATTTACTTTTTAATGCTATTGAACATCACAGAATCGAATTGTTTAGCTGCACCAGCTGTTAAGATTCTTTAATTCCATTTAAATATGAGTACTCATAAGGTTAACATGGGAAACTCCAGAGCCACTGGGGCGGAGCCCTATTGACGGATCTGCACCAAACTTCACACAAACCATCCTTGAATAATGCTTAATAATGCCTAAAAGTTTCATTACAATCTGTCGTGCGGTTTCGGAGTCCATAAAGGACAAACATACAAATATACAAACATACAAATATACAAACATACAAATATACAAACATACATTGGATTTTATATATATAGATGTTACTGTCCGGGGCACTGTAGAGGTCATGTTTAGTTTACAAGATATTGTTTCTTATTATTTCCGTCATTTAAAACCTCGTTTAGCCAAATAACAATCTAATCAAAAACAATAACTCTTACCCTAGTTATATAACCAAACAGTAAAGCACAAATCTTGAAATTAACGCTAAAATAATAGAAACAAACATTCTTCAACACTAACTATCAGTGTCACCTTGTCAATGCTAATACGCTCACACTTTTACAACCAATCGAAAGCTAATGCAGCTGAACTTCAAACGCTGTTGTTGTTTAGTCTCTAAACATTGTTAAATTCTGTTTGCTTGTTTAAATTGTAGTAAACACAGCCTGTTTGAGCACTTTATTGTTGTGATGCACCATAAAACTTGGCACTCAACTCACATTGACACATTGAAACACATGTTGCCAACTCCTGCAACGGAAATAACCACTAATGTCCGATGAACTGTGCATCGGACCGTCAAGAATTTTCTTTTTCCGACTTTGCTATTTCTTTGTTTTATTTACGTGTTCTTTGTCCTATAAATTTGTGGTATATTTGTAGAGTTTAGTAAGCAAATCAAACTATATAGCAGCATTTTTTTGTTGTGGTATTTTAGTTAGGTTAAATATTTATTCAATATGCTAGAAATGACTGAAGGTTTATGAAACAAGGAAATATAAGTTTAATCAAAGCATATGCTATTATTTTAACAAACAAATCGCAAGTAAAAATGACTGTTTGAATATTTTTGTGTTGTTTTTTCCCAAGCGTGCATGTTATATAGGGCTTGTAGTAATTATTTGAAAGTAAGTAGCCTATATTTAGCTTATCTGAAGGCTATTTACTCATTTGATTTTTTTCAAATACTTTTTTGGTCAAGAGTCTTCTTATGACTAATGAAGAAAGAATTTCATTCTAAATATATAAAACATGTAAATTTATATAAATACCCCCGCCGCAGCTTATCTCCAGACTAGGAAAGATTTTCATTTGTCTCTTAAAATTTTACTAAATATTTCACTATAGACAAAATTAAAAACAACTTGACATTTTTTACTGATTGGTAACTTTTGTGTATTTTTCTCCTTTGACATGGCTACTTGTGACCCTGTAGTAGTTTTGGTAGTCCAAGTGTTGAGTCTCGGTCAGTAGATAATAGAAGCTACAGCTGTCAGAGTGTATTGATTTTCCCTTGTTGCCAAGGTAACTTCATCTCACTAACTTTAACATTCAGCTGCTCTCTGCTTATGTGTTCAAATATATTTTTTTTAATTTTATAGATCAACGACATTTTAAGATGTGTAAAATTTATATATCTAATTATTGTTTATCATGTTGGTCAGATGTTGGGAGGAACTCTACTAGTTTATTAATATGCAGTAAATTATATTCTGAATTATACACTATTTATATCTAATTATTTAAAGTGTATTAAAGAGTAGCTTTTTCTATTACCAATTGAGATGGGGATGTCATCTAGGTGCATTTTGAACCCAAATATGAATGATAATTTAAATATATATATTAGTTTACTGTAGGTATATATTATAATCATTTATTATAAATTTAGATATAAACAATTTAATAGTTATTTATATTTAAATAAATAAAAAGTATCCAGACAGTTGTATGTATTTAAATTAATCCGTTATTAAATTACAGAAGTTAATAAATTGTGTAAAAATTGTATATTAGTATTTCATTGTTAATTTACATATAAAAATGTTATTCACTCATCTTCACCAAAATTCCTCAAGGTGTGTCAACTTCAATATTTAATCCATTTATAATACTGTATTAGTAATGTAGGGAATCACAAAATTATGTTGTATAGTGGTTATATATTTCTATAATTTTACTATAGGCTATTTACATATTTTATACTAGTTTTAATCATTCTAATTCAGTAAAAAGTAAAAATATTAATGAAAATTCATAAGTTTTTGTCATCTGAAAAGTTACTTAGATTTAGAACACTGGTGTATTATTGATTTGACTAATGTAGTGGAACAAGCCTTGGAATCATTCCAGATGGCTTCTCAACTGGAATATGTTTTGCCTAAATAATATCTTTGCCAATCCTTCCCAGCTGGTTGGTTGTGATTCTGGTTGCCACATTCTATAAGTGTAATATTGAAATTGTATCCTTTATACATTTTTCTGGTTAAAATGAAGTAATAATTTGAACTTTAAGGTGTGAACAAGTTATGACCATATACAGTTGTGCATACTTAACAATTATATCTTTCTGCTAAACACTTTATTAACTTAAAAGTGTTAGTAGTTTTCTAGAACAGTTGACTTTTCAAACTGCCAGTAGACTTTTCTCCTATCGTAAATCTGAAACTTGTTTTGTGTGCGCTTTACTTTAACTTATAATTACACTTATAATTAACTTTAATTTATTTTGTAATTCAAAATACCACAGGACAAGCCGTAATTTATAGATATATCTTATTTTCTAATAATTGTGAAATAAGTGAGACAACAATTAAAAGAAAATATCAACCATTGCACGAATGCCCTCAAGCGTAAACTGGGCATTAATATGGAAAATTTTCAGCTTATACAGTGATGATAGATAATCTATGATAAATTTTACAGCATTTTTCGGTAGTTTAGGTGAAGTAACTAGTTCTATTAATTGTGCTATTTAAACTTATTTGTTTGGGTTTAGAAAAACATTCTGATTGTTTAATCCAAAGTAAAACTACTCTTTATCTACACAATTATTACTATTAGTAATATATTCAATATGTAAATATTTATAGACAGTTAACTTTTGAATAAAGTAGTTCAACAAATATCCAGCTATTTAAAACTCTTTGTGACAGCAGAAAAAAATCTTAGGCTGGGTTTCAGGCTTTATCAACATTTTGTTTGAACTTATCTCTTCAACTCTTCTTGAAGGACGTTCCATGACAAAATTTGACTCCAATGTAATAATTAAGTTATAAAACAAACCTAGGAGCATTATTTATGATGCAGAATGAAATTGTGGACAATATCTCTCTTTGTCTGGTATTCCTATGTAAAACATGTGAAGGTGGTGAGAACATTTTTACTATTTCACTGATTGTCAACCCCTATGTTGCAGGGAGGGTACCCAGCCAAGCTCAAGAAGGTGCTTATAGTGACTGCCCCTCTGTGGTTTAGAGCTCCGTTTAAAATATTGCGACTGTTTGTACGGGAAAAGCTGCGAGATAGAGTATACACCGTCAGTGTTCCTCAGGTATGTACTTACCTTGCTGACAATGTAGTGTACCTTAAGGATACATTAAGCAGTCAGTGATAAATTAGTAGATTGATAACTAAGAAGTCAAAAGTGATGACTAGATGTGAAAATCCATGGTGGAAAGCAACACCATAAAATTAAAAAAATATTTTAAATATAAGAAAAGTTAATAAAGGAAAGCCTGTTATATTGTTGGGAAACAAATTCACCTTGGTTCTAAAGCAGGTCCTCAATAATCCAAACTGATTCGAAAGAGATATCAAAGTAGGCCTATTAACATTGTTTTTTTTTTTAAGAACCAGATTGTTGGAAGAGATTGGTTAGCTAGAAAGAACCAGCGATTTTATTGCATGTTAAGGAGAAAAACTTGGAATAATTAGTACTTGTAATGGTTGATTGATTGATTCCTTAGTCCTTAGCATTATTTAAAGTGCAATGTAGAGATATAGTGCACAGTAGTTATTAATAAAAACCAGAACTACCTGTTATTACTGGAGAAATATCCGAAGATGACTCCTGCAAATCACATTTGTACAAGCGTACATAACTGAACAAGATCAAGGTAAACTGTGAGTCTAGAGACTGTTACTTCCTCAAATTAATTATTTTCAACAGTCTGATAGTACAGCAGTGACGTAGCAAGGGGGGTCCTGGGTTGTCCGGACCCCCCCCCCCCTCGGTTCTTAAATATAATATTTTTTTGTTAAATTAAATGTAAAATTATATAATCATACTGTATTGACGTTGTGGTTGATTATTTTCAATGCCAAGAGAGCTAAAAAAATCCGTTTTAGGGCCTATATTTTTAAAAATTTTCTCGGGCCCCCTTTTACTCGGGGACCCCCGGTCGGTCAACCCCCCCCCCCCTATTTTGAAATCCTGGCTATGTCACTGGGTACAGTTTTGTTGTTGTACACCCAGGGTATTTGTCTACAACTGGCAAGCGATCTTTTACGTGGCCTCTTAACTTCTATGTTACAAACTGCATCTGATATGGAGGGAAATTAATGGTTTATTTCCCTCAATTCGGCAAAACTGTGTACGGAGTCTGTATAGATTGACAGGCATAATGTTCTGGTAGCAATTTATAAGCAATCACCTTTCAAGTTCACCGTAGGCTATATGTTTGATGTGTAGTAGCTGACCAATACACGTTTGCAATAAACGCTGCAAAGTTTTATTTGTGTTTCTACGCCAATGGAATTTTTGTTGTCGTTATTGTTTAAAGTGATTGAGGACTTGTTACAGCTGTCCCTTCACATACCACGAGACTCTCTGCCCAAGCGGCTGGGGGGTACGCTGGAAGTGGCACATCATGATTGGCTGCTGCATTGTCACAAATCCATGGCCAATCACTGCCAGATCAACGGTCTGACCAACGCCCAGGTACGCACAACTATACAGCTTTGGTATTATTGGATGTTCTTTTTCTTTCACAGTAGCAAATCTGAGTAGCATAGTCAACAATTGCTCCTGGTCTTGCAAGGATTGTTATCCAATACTGTACAAAGGAACCACGTTTTGAGTATCGACAATTCTGATATTATCCCATCAGTAAGATTGAGAATTCATGATGTAGCCCCTCAACTGTTTAATTAGCCAAATATAAGGTACCAAGTTGTAGTCAAACTCACTACATGTCTCACCTATTCAGGTATCGTCAGGTGATCTCCTAACAAGAATGTTCATCCATTACAAAAATTACACATCATTCAAACGTTGCTTTTGTTATTACCTTAAGCTAAACTGAGCCAAACCATTGACTATTGGATATTGAAGTTGTATCAATAGTCAAAGGCCAAACTGAACTAAACTAACCTAACCACTGCTTGGCAGTGTGAAAGAGTCTGAATAGATCCTATGTCTTAAAATGTTCATATTTAATTCTATCTATATTATATTGTGTGAATAGTTTTCCGAATAGGCCTATAGTTATCCAAAGTGATATTTTTGATTTATGATATTTATAACAAATGAAAATTTTATCCAATACCGTGCTTTCTCTGTGGAACTCAACCCAAAAAATATTTGGCATTTCCTCCCACAATTTCCACGATATCATATATACATAAGGCACCTAATTGTGTGTGTCTTGTGACAGTGGGTTACAATGAGTGTGTGGTTTTATTGCAGGGAGAGAGCGGAGATGTCAACAGTGGATCACCGGTCGTGTCCGAGGAGGACGAGGAAGAATTGGAGATAACAGCACAAACCAACAACTCGTGGCAGCGAGGATCCAACCACAGTGGTAAGCTACAACTCACTTCTTTAAGACAATAATGGGTTTTACATACCTCCATCAAATAGTCCAACGATTAAGTTTGTTTAGTAGCTTAAACGTTTTGTTGCGAAGACAACATTTACACTTTAAGTCTGCTACCAAAGGGTTTTTTCCAATCTTGGGCCATGCCCATTCATTCAGTATTATGAGCGCTATCTAAATGATTGTGTATTCAGACTGTTTTTATGTTCGTGTTGTGTTAGTTTTAATTTTTAGCGAATTTCCCATATAGGGAATAAGCTATTACCGTAGTACTCATGGTAAGAACTGGACCCGGGACCGATTTACTGTTTTGTTTTTTGGTCCCTAGAGGCCAAAAATACCATCCGTTCAAATTCATAAATAAATATATATATATATATATATATATATATATGTGTCCGTTAGCACGATAACTCAGGCAAAAATGAATCGATTTTGATGAAATTTGGTACAAATGTGTAAACCTACATTTATTCGAACGAGTTCGCGAACCAGCATGATCGGACTATGGAAACGGGGGTTTATGGGGGGTTTTATGGGGTAAAAAAAGGTTTTTCCCGTTTTCGGCCCTAGAAACACAAATTTCACAATTTCTTTCCAAACTATTTTGTAGAACTAAAAAAAACAAATAATTTAGTATATTGAAGCGTACTTCAATAAAACAACCATGCGCCTAATGGTTACGGAGAAAATTCCAAGAATTTTTAAATTTAAAATTCCCATGTTATTCTTATGGAGAATCAATTCGATTCTATTCAATGCATCAAATCGCGATTCGATTCAGTAGTGGCCACAAAACTATTCGATTCATGTGGGAATCAGTATCCATATACGAAAAACGCCTGCAGAAAATCAATGCAATACCCGCAATACAGGAGCGCGTTTCTGTTGCGTTTCCTTTTTTGAAGGCGTTTTTATTTAACTAATTCTTTGCATGTAAATATTGCTTCAATTGTTTTAATTTTTTGTTTTGACATTGCAAATGATGAGAAGTTTTGTTAAGTGTAAGCAGTGCGAGAAATGTTTTACAACTGTAAACATAGCCAAAACAAGTCATTCCAAAATCATTTTAAAAATAACACAAGGTGCTTTTTGTATATTTTGTACCTAGGGCAGTTTTTAAGTTCGAGACGAAGCCGACAACTTATAACAATAGAGAGCTGCAAAACCATTTCGGTCCGTGGTACGAACTCTATTTTTCACCACACTATTAGGCCTACCACAATTCACCACAATAATAATGCGCACTAACAGTCAACACAGCTACAACTTATGGTTATGTGAAGAAATTTGGGGAATCAGGAAAAATATTAATAAATAGTTGCTAGGGAGTGGTGACAATAAAACAACTTTATTGCAATGCTATGGATTATGTATTTAATATGCATTAATGTATTAAGAAATTAAAGCAACACTGACTTTCGGCCATAGGAATGTAAAAACCTGCTCGGTCCCCAAATTACGACGACAGCTGGCATAGACAGCAATACAAAGTTTTCGGCCTCCAATAAGTGTTTGTAAAACGGCTAAAATCATCTTAGTGTGGTGAAAATACATTAATCAAAGGGGGCAATTGCAGTAACAAACTTAAAAAAAAAATAAATCATTGAAAGGTTCTTTTAAAGTTCAAAATCCAGCCATATATGCTCTTTTTGTCTTAGTCAAACTCAAAATATCAAAATTACTAATACATTTTAATTTACAAATTTTTACTGTTTTATTAACGTTTTTCAGTCTCAACAATAGTTGTGACGGATAAACAACACACCATTTACTTATTTTTCTAGTGTCATCAAGGGCTGGAATAAAACTACTGGTCATGAATCAACATTTATGTTGCCGTGAATCATGAAGGATCATTGGGAAATGATGTAGTTATTGCCTTATCAATGATAATTGTCAAACCAATATCCCCACTATCAGCAAATATCACAGAATGAGCTGGTGATAAGCAAATGATAAGTTATCTACCTCTTGCAGCCATTCCCTGTGACAGTTTCTCCTCCAACAGTGTGAGTTTTTGGCTTTGTCGTGTTTGTGCCTGTGTTTTGACAACAGTGAGTGTAAGAAAAGTTTCAGTGATAGTTCAAGGATTAATTGTTTGTTGTCTTATCAAAGCTTCATTTTGAGTGGACTTTGTTATTTCATTTAATAATGTGCATCTTAGTTCAACTACAATTCTATTTTCTTTACAGCCAAACATAAAAAAAAACAAATGTAGTATCCGTAAAAGAAATATATGAGTAAAGCGGCAAATGTATTGACCTTGAAGGGGAATGCGCGACTTAGCCCTACTAAGAAGAAGAAGTCTTTTTGGGACTTGTTTTCTAAGAAAGTTTTAAAATGTCAACAGTATGATTTGGGTATGTAATTTTAGTTTCAAGCTTGAATATGTGACAATACAAGAAGTGTATGTTTCATAAATCGACCGATACTTGACGAATTGCCAATACAAATATCATTCTCAAGTCTCACTTGCAGGCGTGCCACATGTTGTGGCATTTCGTCATTTGTTATCACCGGTTGTAATCAGTACAGTGGCCTGTTATCATGGCTCGTTTACGTTATTGCCTCATTCTCACTGTTACTTTTTTATTCATCGGGTTTTTCTTCAACTTTTACCAACTTGTCAACTATAATGGTAACAGTATTGTTTTGTATTTCATTGATTGTATGTGAGTAAAAAATTTTTGTTCTAATGATTAGTTTTGGTTTTGCTTTACTCAACATCTGTTTCAGTTAAAGATCCAAAATTTTAATTATTTTTTTATGTTACATCTATGCAAACTACATATCTCTTAACTTAATTCAAATTAGGTTTTATGTTTTTTCTTTCATTGGTCTAAAGTCTGAAATAAAATTATTTGTCAGGGCAGGTTTTTTTATGAAAATTATAACTTTCCCAATTATTTTATATTTCTAATTTCAACTTGGTGATTTCAGTTTTATGCTAAAAGTAATTTTACTGGTATGAATTCATTATGAATGGTTATTTCTGTGCTTGGCAACTATTTGCATAATTTCAGGCAGAAATTCGGAAAGTTAATTTTGATAAAATATCTCATTGTTTATGTTTGTTGTTTTGTAAATTACATTTCATTCAGCCTGCCATGGAAACATTCGACAACATAAATTTATTTGAGTTATACACACCACAAACACAATAGGTATGAACAAACATAATCCAAAGAATCCATCTCAAAAAGGTACAACTCCAAACATGTTACGCCTAAAAAATATTTGGCTTCTATAATGCTAATATGCAGTACATACTGTTAGAACACCGCTGTGAACTTAAATGATCCCAATAATAGCAAAACTTTGCAATTAAGACCTCTTCTTATGTTTGCTGAATTTAATGTGTTCTGCAAAAGCAAGGAGACTATTGATTAACAAAAACTGTGCCTGACATCAGGGTAACACCTTTTCCAGGTTCAGGTCAAGTTGGAATAACTAAAAGTTGTTAAAGCAATAATTAATATAAAGTAATACTTATGCTCTACTTGGATGGACTTAACTTTACTTTAAAATTCTAGATTATTATCTCCCCATCTTTAAATTTTGCCTCTTAAGTATAAAGCACCATTCATTAGTCAAATTAGTCACAGTTTTTATATAATTAAACTAGTTCTTTTACACAGTTTTTGTTGCTTTACAATTTCAGCACTAATAGCTTCCGAGCCAAAGGTCAGTTGTAAATTTTGGCTTCGGGATGTTAAGCCAGTTATATAACACAGAGCTTAAAACAATAAATTCTGTTCTTGGTAGCTTTGTCTTGTGACAGTTAATAATTAGGATAAAAGCTGAGTAACAATTGGGTTCTGAATCACAAAATTGTAGCCATCCCCAGCTATTTTTAGTTTGCAATCTTGTACTAATTGCATACACTTTTGTTAGGGACTGTTATACTGTATATTATCAATCATTCTACTTAAACCGGTTGCAGTAAGTCCAGATAAGCCAATGGGTGTGATAACGAGGAAAATATGCTTATAACCCCATTTTAAATATGCTAAAACGTATTAAATAGATAAAAGTTTCTGTGATGGCAAACCTTCACAAGGATTCAACTTATTCTTTGATAGAAACCACTAACCATCACGGTTTTGAAGCCATCGTCATGAATAACGTCAAAAATAACCTACGAAGCAAAAAACATTAAAAGTTTAACTAAAATATAAGATAAAACCATTTAGCCCACTCCTCCGTTTTCACCAAGAGTAAGACGGGAGGGGTAGCAGAGAAGTATGTAGGTATAAGGAGAAGATGAACTTTGTTGTATGCCGTGCACTAAAAGAATCAGGAACAGCAGGTCCTTAAAACCTGGCTTGTATTTTCCAATTGCAGAATAAATATTAATAAAAAAATACACTCAGCTTTAAAATATAACTATTAACCTATGAAAGGTCGCATCCCTTAATAGATTTGAGAACCAAAAAAAGTAATTCCTATGTGTTATATGATATAAGGAGAAATCCTGTGAATTTTAATTAGGTTCAATAGTTAACCCTTCCTGGAGGGGCGACTTTTATGGTCTAGGACGAGCAAAAATAAAACAAATAAACAAATTAGTTTTAAATATTTGTGTTTTTTATACCCGTTTACATAAAATAAACACAATGGAACATCTCATATTATCTAAATAATTTTTACTTGTTTTTATGCACAAAATAAATGGTGGGGATAAGCAGAAAAACGTCGGATATATCCGCCACGTCTTTGAAAATATGGTCTTGACAAAGAAAGGCAATAAATAAAGAACAATATGTTATCACTATTTCATGCTAGACAGAGAACAACTGTAGCTTTTAGCGCCAACAAAGTCAACGTTGTGGTGCGCGCTCAACATCGTGGGGGTCGGGGCAGCGCAGGAAAGGGCGGCTGTGGTAGCCCGAGCCATCTGGGTACTGCAAAAACAACAACCAGGCCGTCTGAACATAAGGCGGATATATCCGACACCTGTCCGCGAAGGGTTAAGTTATAAACAGTGTAACCAACAAAACTTGAATTAAACTTGAATAATGAATTTATATGATTTTATTTACATTTGTATACACAGCTTTACTTATAGTTTTATTGTTGTTGCAGGCGCTGTCTCGCCGTTGCCTCCACCCAGTTCCGCCAGTTCTGGGTTCTCGGACGATGACTCGCTTCATTGTGACGCACAAGGCCTCTCGATCGAGCAGTTCGTACAAACTGTTCAGACAAAAGGCAGGAGTGGGCTGATCGCCGAGTACCAGGAGATCAAGGCCAGACCTCCAGACGGAACTTTCAACCACGCAAAGTGAGTTAAACATATAGATGAAAAGCTTTTAGCCCCAGTATGAATTTGACCAGCTCCAGTGACCTATTTTCTCATTTATTTTATTTTGTGTTGTTTAATGCCCTTTTCTTTTATATTTGGTCTCGAAACTTCAAATTCTTCCTTCATAATTTGTTTTCATTTGCAGCAGTAGAATCTTTTATACATTTTTAGTTGTTGGGAATGGTCCAAACCCAAGTCTTGTAACAATTTGTTATACCTTTTGTTAGAATTATTCAGTAATTGATAGCCCAATAACAAAGGACATTTGATCCAAATTTAAGTTATGATTATATGTGGGATTGAACCAGCTACTTCCATATATCAGAGCGAGCACATTAATCACTCAACTACTCGAAAGTCCCATAAGACATTTTTGGTGGACTCACCACACACGGTTGCGTAGGCCAACTAAGTAATGTAATACCTAACATTGTGTAACTCATGAAGAACCCCACAGACAGGTGCTCTCCTCTTGAGTTGCAAACCAGATCTGACTTGCGCAGGATTTTTCAACCTATAGGGCTGTCTCTTGGCTGGGGAACAATGTTATGTATCACTCCAATATTGGTCTCACCTAATGACCTACACATTAACAACATTGTTAGACTGTTACTGTGAGAAATTGCCTGATTATATGAGACATGTGCATTAGTCCAACAGTAAATTCTATATTTAAATCCTGCTTGTTGGCAAACAAGGTTTTATAAATTTTTATTTATCTAAAAAAAAAAACCTAAGGATGCCTGACGCCTAACTTCTGCACTTTTGTAAGAGCCCTATAATTCATTACTCCCTCTTGCACATTTTTTACTTACATTCACTCCATGGTGAAGTATATTGGGGGAGCGAGCTGGTCTAGTTGGTTAGAGCGTGGGACTTCGGTTCCTGAGGTCCCGGGTTCAAATCCCACCAAATCACCAATGGATTTTATCTAAGTGATAATGCCGCAACCCCTAGGTCTAGCCTGAAGTAATGTAAAAAACAATCCTGAACTCAAGCCTACCGTCCTTGGGAAAAAAAATTGGTGAAGTATATTGATAGATGCTAATGTTGTGTTGTAGGTTACGTGCCAACCAGCCCAAGAACAGGTACACAGATGTTTTATGTTATGACCACAGTAGAGTGCTGCTGTCTCAGATTGACAGTGATCCCACGACTGATTACATCAATGCTAACTTTGTAGACGGGTACAAGCAGAAGAATGCCTTCATCTCCACACAAGGCAAGTGTTTCACACTACTTAGGACAGATTAGGGGAGGTTTGATGGTGTAACACCTAATCCTAGAATGGTGTTTGCCAAACATTGTAACAACATTGGTGTGTGGTAGTAGCTGTTACTAATTTTAAATAATTATCCTTTAAGTAACATTTAACTTAATTTTTTGGGAAGGACACCGTTGTGGGAATTTAAAATAAACAGTATCAGCAATCTGACACATACTTTCTCCTATTGGCTTGTCAACAACCGCATTTAAGTAAGCGATGGGAGTAGGCCCTAACTATTACATTTATAGGAAAAATTACAAAAGTTGCAATACCTTTTAAACCATAATTTTTACAGTAAGAAATGTGGGTTACATTTTGTTTAGAATTATAAGGACAAAAACATACTAATTTTAATCAGAACTGGCTTTATTAAAAAAATTCTGATTTCACGTTATTTTATGAGCTTTTATGGGAAAATAACTTAAGTTACAATGACTTTTGAACCGTAATTTTTACAGTCTTTCTTTTGTAATATTTTCGCTCATGGTTGTGTTATCTGTTACCAGGACCACTGCCCAAGACAACTGGGGACTTCTGGCGGATGGTGTGGGAGCAGCAGACGGTGGTGGTGGTGATGACTACAAGAGTGATGGAGAGAGGGAGGTGTAAGTGTGCGCAGTACTGGGCGGAGGAGGAGGGAGGCACTGCCACACACGGCAACTTCACTGTCACCACTCAGGCCATCGAGCAACACCCTGACTATGTCATTAGCTCACTACTGCTGCATAACACACAGGTAAACACTTAAATTTATAACTAAAAATAACACATGTAAATATTTTATCTACGTCAACCCTTTGGCCAGAACATTGACAGGTGTTTATGTACTCTGAGGCTGTTCTTCTTGGTCGTGTGCGTGCAATCCACATTAAGCTAACTAAATGTGTGGCTTAGATGATTGGAGGGCCAACCTTATTAGTATGAAAAGGGGCCACCTCAAAAAATTGAAAATGATCAATAAAGTAAAGTTAATAACACTACTCTAGAGAAAGAGTACCAACAAAAGTGTTTGGGTTTGAACTTTGGTTACTTAGTTGGAATTGGAAGTCAAATGTCAAGAAAGTACTAGTAATTGGTTGTATGTTCACTTAAAGAATTAAGGGAATTTATGTGATCTGCCAATGTTAAAAATAGATTGTTATGATGTGATACATTTGCATTTCTACTTTAATATGCATATTTATGGAGCTACAAGTGCTAATAATTTAAATTAGATTATAAATTTTCAAAACAAATCAATCAAAATTATATAGAACCAGATAAATATAAAAAAGAAAAAGGAATCAAGACAATTTTAGTCTTGTATAGTTGACCTTCTTCTCATGGAAACTTAATCACAAAACATGATTTATACTTGGAAGGAGCAGTAATTTGATCTAACATTGTAATTGGCTTTTGAGACGAGAGAATAGCCATCGCTTATGGGCCTGAACTGGCTAGTACCAGTGTATGAAGTAAAGGACACGGCGCTGATTTAAACTACCTTATTTTATTTTAGGGGTAGCTATTTGGAGACAAACTTACAGACAACCCTCGTATATGAGATAATGAACACAAAAAATGATCTGAACTTTTTGTTGAATTCAATAAGTAATGGGGTACAGGGTAGATAACTTGTTTTAATTAAACTGTTGCTGTATGAAATAAGTTTGATATACTAGGGTTTCCGAGTTATACCTGGTTTGTGAATATATTTTTTTCTCTTTTTTTCACATTTTATATTGAAAGATGGCAAGTCAATCAAAGTACAGAGCTCATAAGATAAATGTAGTGTCCCAAAGTGAGGGATCCTATTTTTGATTAATAAAGCAGCAACTATTTATTGCATCTCATTGTATTGTCATCTGCATTGCAGACGGAGGAGAGCCGAGATGTGAGCCACTATCAGTTCATCTCGTGGCCGGACTACGGAGTGCCGCTGTCAGCCATGGCCATGTTGGACTTCCTGCAGCGAGTGAGACTGTGTCAGGCATCAATGTTGGCAGCACTGGGAGATACGTGGGCGGGACATCCGCGTGGACCACCCATCATCGTACACTGCAGCGCAGGCATCGGCCGCACTGGTGAGTGTCAATTCTCGCTATCTGAACCTGTAGATCTTGCTGCATGTGTCTGGAAGGTTATTCAACACTCATCATTAGACTAAAAAAGTATCTATTTGTTATAGTGTTTTTGGAATAAACTTTAACACACAAAACACAAACGATCACAGATAGAGATAGGTCTAACTATGAGCGAGTACATTGCCACAGGCAAGGCAAGACCCCACTAGAAAAACAGGCCATGCTGCAGCGTGGGCAGTGCAACACTACGCCACAGTGGTGGATAGTTGTACTAAAATCTTACTATTAAAATCTGACAAACAGCCAGCTTATTTACCTAAAACATATGGGATATGGCAGTGAATCTATCCACCAGTGTGACATCATGGATCCTGCAGCATGGTCTGTTTTTCTAGTGGGGCCATAGGCGAGGCCAGAAGGAGACTGAGCTAGGCTATTATTTAGGCCTACTTATATGGTTTCACATGCTACTTTATTCAACAGAATACTAATATTTTGCCCTGCTGTTGCGCAGGTACATTCTGTACTCTAGACATCTGTATCTCACGACTGGAGGAGACAGGGACGGTGGACGTGCGGGGAGCCGTGGAGCGGATAAGGTCTCAGAGAGCGTTCTCCATACAGATGCCAGACCAGTACATCTTCTGTCACCTGGCGCTCATAGAGTACGCACTCAGTAAAGGACTCATCTCACAGCCTGACCTGTCAGCCTTCGACAACGGCCACAGCGAGGACTCTGAGTAAATTACTTCAGTTGGAACATTACAGTTTGGTTATCTAAATATGACAGTAACAAATTATCTTGTTTGTTGATTGGTGAGTTCACTCGCTCATCGTGCTAATTATAATTAACTAATCCTGCTACGTGAAGCAAATCGACTGATTGATTTTATATTGATGGTTTTGTCTCATGGGACTATTTAAAGAAGCTGTAGTTTTTGAAAGAATCTTCGTTTTATATTTATAACAAAATAGGGATAGTAGATAATAGGTTAAATAATGACAAAGTACTTGAAGTATTCAATTGGTTAAAAATAGATGAGAAGAATTATTTTATTTATCAAAAATTGTTATAGGTTCAAGGTTCATCATAACACAACACCTACAATACTGAGAAATTAAATTTAAAACAATGAATTAAAAAATTCAACTTTGCTGCTACATTTTCTTGGTTGTGTTAGGTATGTGTTGCTGCTTAAACCAAAAAAGTGTTAATGTGTTAAAAGCAAAAAATGTCAAAAAATGATCCACACGTTTGAATTGTGTTGTATTCCAAATTAAATTTGGTAATTACAAAACTACATTTAAATTCCTTCAATGTTCAACATAGTTCCTAATGAAATGTTTTTTTTTAATTGCTGTTAAAAAGTATGTTTTGTATACCTTTTTCAAAAGAGCTCCTGCATATAACTGTCATTTTTGACAGGCTGTCAGCTTTAATACAGATTACGCCTTCCGAAATGATAACTCAACTGTGTTAACAGTGTTAGTGTTATTTTTATACAGCCGCAAAACCTGCTTCAGATGTGTCTCTGATGTGCTAATACGTTGTGGCATTTAGCATTGTAGTGATGTGAATTTTTAAATGTAAAATAAAACAGCAGAGAATTTGAATAAACCGAAGTTTTTGTAAAACTTAACATTACTAGTTAAACAGACTGTAGAAGATTTTCTCAACATAGGTTTTGTACAGTTTTTGTCTTATTGATGTATGTGATACATTATTATTTATTGTTTGTTTTACTAATTTATAAAGAATAATATATTATAGGGTTAAGGATAAGTTATGCTTGTCATTTTATTATTTTCCAGCTTTAAATCATAATTTTGTATATAGGTTTCTAATATATGTTATTTTAAATAATTAGTCAATTTATTTTAATTTATTAATATTATAATCTCTTTTTTTACAATTACTGGGATGAGTTTCAGTTTATGTTAATTAATAAATACATCAGAACCTTGATAAAGAACTCTTAAGCGCAAATGATATTCATGCTGGGCTGTAAGGTTGTTCCAAGGGATACTTGTTATAAGGAAAATTCTTGTTTCAAAGGATTTTAGGTTTGTTAAACAAAAGCTTTCAGTTAAACTGATTTGAGGAGATGTAATTTTTTATTTTAAAGAAATTTTTTGTTTGATTGTTCTGGTAATCTGAGAAATTTTGAGATTATGTGATAAGCAGATTCAAAACTTGCTGATGCCAAAGAAATCCGTTCATAGTGTCCAACATTTCAAATCATAGAATTAATTTTAGTTATTGAATTAATTATGACATATTGATATTACACAAGAACTGGTGAGATTTCTTAAAGTGACTTAAACATACCAGTCAGTACATTAGGTTTTTTACAAGGTTATACATTGATTTTTATGTTTAAAACACAGCTGCAGAATTTCTTATGCAACTCTGCTCTCTTAAAATAGGCATAGGAATAAATGATGTAACAGATAAAACCTGACAAGCTGCCAACATAGTTTTTTGTTGTTAAAACTAAGTATGGTTTACATAATTTATTTGCCAAGTCCTAAATCATTCATCATTTGTTCTTATACTTTAAGTTTTAGAATATTTCCAAATTCATATACTCTTAAAAATAATATAGACTATGATTTTTAGTTTGATTAAGCCTAACAGTTGTATAATGAAGATTTGTGTTTTTTTAATTAAATATCAACTAGTAAGCTTAATTATTGAACATAACTAATGTAGTGCCATTTGTGTCTGATAAAACCCTTAGTGTCATATAGAAAGGTTTCTGTTTAAAATAGTTTGTTAATTCACACCGACTTTTGTATAGGCCTGCAATTTTTGTATATTAAATGATTAAGATTGATGACTAGTATCTAGACTGTAAAGAAGTTATATCATACCAAGATTTGGTATTCAATTCATTATTACTTTAAAAAATATCACTTTAAAATTGTATATGTATTTGGCGAACTACTTTTTTATTAATGTCAGTGATATTTTTGTTTTTACAGATTTCATACTGATTGTAGAATTTGTCTAGGGTTTATTTTTTATGTAAATTGAAGTATTTACAGGTGGTAGATTCTGGTATTCAGGTGACAAGGATGAAGTAGTTGCCAACGTCTTGGATGTCTTTGGCAGTCACCTGAAAACCAGAATCTACCACCTTGAGGAATCGACTGTGAAAGCCTGACACAGAAAATTATGTGTTTTCAGCTTAAGTAAATCAGTTTCTTTAGTAAGATGAAGTGTACGACTTGTGGTTTGTTGTGGTGTTTGTTGTTCAATGGTTAAGCCCATGTTTCTCACTATCTCTTTCTCACTCAAGGAATTTGTTAGTGTCTAATTTGATTGTACACCAGCTATTAATTCTTTAATTTTGTCCATTTTCCATTAAATTCTTTGAAGTAGCGAGTAAGGAAAGAGTTATTCCAACTTAAGTCCTGTAACGTAAAACAGTGATGCAAACTAACTTTTTACGAAGAATGCTAGAGACTGGACAAAAACTGATTATTTTTGTACACTAAGTGTCATTAACTCCTTTGTGGGCTATGCCTGATTTGATATATTTGAACTCTATTTTTATATCTAAGATTCCTTATCGGGCATTTCATTGATGCTATGATTTATAAGCTATAAAAGTGCTATAACTACTTCCTATGTTATCAAAGACAGGATTATGCAATTAGTGAATACAAATTTAAAAAAAGAGTGAATACAAAAAGGAAAAGGCTTGCTCTAGAATAGTTTAGGAGTTAACATTTTCTTCACAAATTATTATCTATCTAGTTAACAGTTTTCTATTTGCCATCATCAATAATTTCAATTTCAACCTCTACTAATAAATAGTTTTTGTAAAATATCTTTCTTTACCAATTGTGAAATTGAGGTATAGTCAATTTAAAATGGAACACCATTGTAAATAAACCTTTTGTTTACTGTAAAGTACTGAGTTTGATCAATTACTATTTCTTACTAAAAGGCAGATTTTTTTATCACAGGGCTAGTTATTTTAAAAAAAGCTTTCAACTGTAGTTTTAGAAGTGATCTTGAAGCGATGTAAGTAATGAATTGTTAGGTTTGTCTGATTTCTAAACCCCAGAACTGTGTATACTTGGCCAGTTTATTATAGTTGTATATAACGTGTGCTGCCAGTGTAATATAAAGCTTCATTAATTTAAGGACGGTGTTTTATATACATAAAACTGTACTTTCATTTACCTTTTGTCTTTTATTACCCTATCACAGTTCTATTTTATGTTAATATTGCCCTTTAATAAACATAAATTGTATGTAGCATTTTTTATTTTTTTATTATAAAACAATGAAAGAAAAGGTGTTCCGTAAGAAATATTAAGGCGGAAATTTTGGAAAATGGCAGCATAAAAAAAAAATTGAATTCAGCTCTCCACTTAGTGTTTTCTCTAAATCTAATTATTTCTGAGAGACCTAATGGTGTTTTGCCTCTGGGAACATCAAAATGAAAAAGTAAATTGGTCCTGCCCCGAGTCTAAGGCGGGTTACACACCGGTATCGCGGATATGATGTCGCCGATATTTTTCGTGCCCGCGACATGCCGCTCGAAAACCAACCTATGTTATCTTATGGAGCTTTACACACCAGTGTCGCAGACACGTTGCCCGCGACTCATGTCGCAGACGCGTGTCTCGAGCGAACCAACCAGTCGGTGTTTGGACAGACATGTCTTGTGTCTCTTGGGCCCGCGCATGCGCAGAACACGTTTCTAGTAGTTTTGGAGCTTTTTTACTTACTTTATTGCCTTATGGTGTGGAATGTAGTATTGTTATATTATAATACTTCAATTGACACAATAAGGAAATTACGTAAGTACTGTAATACAATTAATTACAATGTATTTTGGAAAAATTACCATGAAGTTATCTTTAATGTTTTTGTAGAAAGAACAACAGCAACAACATATCATCTTCTTCTGACGATGACATTATTTAAACTGATGAATGTTGTGATTCCTTCACTTTCATGTCGCCAGCACGTGCCTCTTCCCATGGTTGCATTTTATTACATGTCGCAGACATCATGTCCGCGACATCAGAAATATCGGCGACATCATATCCGCGAACCGGTGTGTAACCCGCCTAAAGCTTACTATGAGACCTATGGTAATAACTTATTCCCTACATGGGCAATTTGGTAAAGAACAACTTCTTTATCTGAACTCAATTGTAAGCTACAGTACGGTCCATGAGAGTCTGCAGGGAGGAGGCTATTTACCATGTGACTTCAAAGCAGCCAATGGGGTATTGTTTAGTATATTTTAATGAGTGTTAAAAAGTAGTGAACGAGTAATGTTGCAACTTCGCGCTAGTCAAGTCTTGGTATTGGCTGCAGACTCTCGTGGTCCCTAGTACTGTATAAAACCATTGCTTCCTGCTCTCAACTAGTTCGAAGCCACCCTTCAGCTGAAGGTTCTGACAAATAAAGAAATTTGTTTTTAAAGATAGCTGTCTGAATTAAATTTATTTCTTTATGAAGAGCCATACAATAATAACTATCAGTAATTTTGCCCTTTGGGTACACCATATCCAGTATGGACCTTAAAAAAACGTTAAAAATTGTTTTTTAGTAATAAGTTTGTTCATTTTAAATGTAAATATAACATAACATTCAATTTTTACTAAATCCTCTTCTTACTTTCCAATAATTAAGAAGTCATTGAAATAACTTAAAAATAAATGTGGTTTCTTACTCAATTTAATGGGGACCATTGGAACACATTCATATCTAAAACACTTCACCAAGGCTGTGTGATAAGAGTAGTCACCACCCTACACAACAACCTGATTCTAGCTGAAGCGAGTTGCAGACTTCCAGCAGTCCCACTTTAGTTGTGTTGGTGAGAGAGTGTTTCTTCTGCTTCCGTTATTTGTAGTGATTCTCAGCTGAAATGCATTTGAAAGGTGCCAATATAAATGAGGCAATCCCTTCTTTTTCCTTTGAAACATCGGTTCTCAAATTGATGTTAGAAGGAATGGAATGCAATGCAAACAGAGTAGCTCAGGTATGGTGGTAGGTAATATTTGAAAGCTTAATTTAATTGAAGTTTTAATTTAAAAAAAGTACAAATAGTCCTAAATAAAACTGTATTAGCCACTGTTTTTCTCCCTTTAATGCCAATATTTCATGTCGGAAATTCTAGTTATGTCGCTGATTTTACTACTTTCTTCTGGAAACCTTTGGAGAGGAGAAGTGTCAATTTTAACAAAACTATAACTTAAAAAAAATAGTTTTCTCTCTTAAAATAAGATAGAAAACTCCAGTCACAAAACTAGCACCGTTTGAATTGTCTAAATCAGTTAAAAAACACTTCTTAAGGCCAAATATTTTCAATTCAGTATTACTGTATTATGTTTATTGTGCTGAGGGTGTTCAGTTTAATTCCTAAACAATGCATTTAGTACTTTAGTAATAATACTTTAGCTTAACTTTCACTACCTGATAAGCTTAAGGGATCAAAATAATACAATTTTTTATTACCGTGTTCAGAAAAATCTAAATCTTTATTCTTTCATATACGACGGTACACAATTAATTACTACACAAAACAAAACACAAGTAAGTTTTGAATGGAATTATCAAGGTTGATTTTTGTGGATACTGTATTACATAAATTTAATCAAAGAAAAGAGTTATGGTAGGCAACTGGCAGCACTCTAGGAAAATTTTTGAGTGGAGCGAAGCGAAGCTCTTTGGGATCAACTTCAATGCAATCTTTATAATTCTTAATCCCAATTACGGCTGAACATATTTTAACTTACCAAGGTTGTTTTGTCAAATGTTTAGATGGTTTACACGTAACCAATTTCAATTTTTGATAATGCCTATATAATTTTAAACTTTAAAGTAACTCAAAGTTTTTAATATTTAAAATTGACCTTTGATTGCCATGTTGGTTACAAAATAACAACGTTAATGTAAACAAAACAAAGAATCATCGCACCAAGCCATGACCCAAACACAGTATAAAGGAAAAATTCGGATGATGACCACTGATAAAATAATTCACTGAAAAGTCTTAAGTTTACATTTAAGTTGCAGTTTGGAAAGACCACTGATCGAATAGGTAGATTCATAGGTAAAACATATTTTTTTAGATACAGTACGGTATGTAACAGATTTGATTTACATAGCTAATAGGGAGTGATGAAGGAAAGGACGTAATACAGGTGAGTAGTGCGGAGTGTGGGAAAAGTTTGTGGCATTTAGATAATTGTATGTAAAATACCAAAATGCTATGGGAAGAGGGGAAACAAGTCCATGACGTTGTGAAGGAAGTAGTAAAGGCTGGCAGTGCGGAGTGTGGGAACCATTTGTGGCAGTTATATTAATGTATCTGCAATCCTAAAAACCTATGGTAAGGGAGGGAAACAGGTCCAAGACATAGGAAGTGTTGAAGGAAGTAGTAAAGGCGAACAGTACAGAGTGTGGGAACGCTTTGGGGCAGTTAGATTAATGTATCTCAAATATTAAAATGCTATTGGAAGGGAGGGAAACAGGTCCACGAGGTAGGAAATGGTAAAGGAATTAGTAAAGGCTATAGCAGTGCGGAATAAGGGAACACTTTTGAATTGAATTGAACTTTGGGCAGTTAGATTAAAGTATCTGCAATCCTAATATTCTATGGGAATGGAGGGAAACAGGTCCACGATGTAGGAAGTGGTGAAGCAGGGAGTAGTAAAGGCTAGCAGTGCTGATTGTGGGAACGCTTTGGGGCAGTTAGATTAATGTATCTAAAATACTAAAATGCTATGGGAAGGAAAGGAAAAAGGTCCACGAAGTAGTAAAGGCTAGCAGTGCAGAGTGTGGGAACATTTGTATTTTGATTATATCTACAAACATTTTTTAATTTATTGCTTTATTAAAAACCATGAAACATGATTGCTCCGCTCAACTGAAACTATCAAAGCTCAGACAATCTGAAACTCATAAACTTAATCTTAATACAAATTAATTAAACATAATCTTCAAGGATATAAATAAAGGGGCAAGGAGTTAAGATTTCATTTGAATTAAAAAAGGTGTATACCTGCTAATACAAAATCCATACAATTGCAGAAGCAAACTAATTTGGGTTAGGGGCCATTTTAGGTGACTCAAAGACATTTTCTTATCTTTTCATGTCAAATTTAACATTTGAAAATAAATATTTAAGGACAACACACGCATACACTACACATTTACGGTAGGTAAATTACTTTATAATGGACGCTAACCCAGTGGATTTTTAAAGTGTAGACTTCTCATTTGAAGCATTATCTCAATAATCTCAACAAATTTAAATCAATAAATAAGAGTTGGAAAAATATACAGCTCTGTGTCCTAAACTTTTTTACCTACGACCGTTTTTTAAAGTAGCCATGTCAGTTCAGTTCTTAGAATTGAAAAGTTCACTTAACAGCTGTTTACTTTCATATTAGCATAGTTTCATTTCATATCAGCATAGTTTTTCTCATATCAACACGGGTAACGGACCAATGAGGTTCAAGGATTGAGAGAAAAGAAGTACAATTGTAATACTTCGAAAATCAGCTGAGCTGATCAGTTGACAATTTTAATTGTTGATCCGGCTTGTTCCTGTTGATACTCGTATTCTTAACCTAAGTTGGTGGAAGTTAAATGAAGGTTGATTTTAAAATATCAGTTAGTGAAAGTGATGTTGACGAGATAGAAATGAGAGCTCAAACTGTTTGTGCTAATCTTTTGCCACCAAAATCAAAACAAATGTACCATATGCAATTACATACCAGCAATTCATTAAATGAACAAAACAAAATAAGGTTAAATTGATAAATGAAAATGTTCTTCTGGTTTATTTTGAGAACCTTTTAACCACTTTTTCACCCAACTCGTTGTGGACCACATATTCGATGCTGATATCTAACTGTAAATTAACTGTTTCACCATATTATTCAGTTGTCCAAAAATATATGCAATATTTCCCTAATTGTACCTGATACAGTATTTATGGTAAGAATGCTGCTAGCAGAACCTATTGCCTGAAAAAGTAACTATTATTTAACAAAGTTTTACAAACACGTAATTACATGAAATCAGCTGATTATACAGGGTGGCGCAGATGGATCGGGTGGTTTTAAAATACTTGTCAAACTGTCAATTTTAAAGGTATTGGATTGAAATCAAGTGCAAAACGTGTAGTTACAATGGAAGTTTCTTGACAAAA